GCCTTTTTTTTTTTTACTTTTGGTTAAATTACATTGTTTACAGAAGTTATGGACAAATTGTCTCTATGAAATAAAAAATTTCATAAAAAATTACTATAATGCTTAATTTTCGCATTTGCACATAATGACTCAGAAAATGATTTCCATAAATACTCACTAGGAAAAATGTGTGTATAATAAATCTTATCTTAAAATCTTACTATTTCTCCTCCCTATGAAATGAAACGCGTTTATTAACTTAAAACCATTTTGCCTTAAACTTTATCAATCTACCTTTATCATAACTTGCAGCCCTCCACACCTGGCCCTCAATCTGAGGGTCGCGGGTTCAAATTCACATTATACCAAACATGTTCGCCCCTTTCAGCGTGGGGGCGTTATAACGTGATGGTCAATCCCACTATTCGTTGGTAAAAGAGTAGCCCAAGGGTTGGCGGTTGATGGTGATGACTAGTCTCTCACTGCTAAATTGGGGACGGCTAGCGCAGATAGCCCTCGTGTAGCTTTGCTCGAAATTCAAAACAAACCCTCCATACCCAACCCCGGTAATTCTTTGGTGTGAGGTTGATCGCTTACACTCGCTTATACAGTAAATATTTCTCGTTTTTCAGGAAGCACGAAGAATATAAATGTTCGTAAAAAATAATTTTACATTTTGTAAATAGGTGTATAGTTCAGAAAGTGACAGTTAAAACAGTGATAATTGAAAAACGGTTAAACATTGACCTTAAGAATATTTTCGATGGAAGTCGCCTTATTCTGGTGGTCAGTATTGTGGAAAAAAGCAGAAAAGATGTAGATTGGGGAAACCAAAAGGACGCTGTTTTCAAGTTTTAGCATGACGGCACATTGAAAGAAAATGAAAAGAGTACCATTAGAACTAGTCAAGGGCCCGGCATGGCCAGGTCGTTAGGGCGCTCAACTCGAAATGTGAGGGTCGCGGGTTCGAATCCCCGTCACACCAAACATGCTCGCTCTTTCAGCTGTGGGGACGTTATAAAGTGACGGTCAATCCCACTATTCGTTGGTAAAAGAGTAGCCTACGAGTTGGCGGTGGGTGGTGATGACTAGCTGCTTTCCCTCTAGTCTTACACTGCTAAATTGGGGACAGCTAGCGCAGATAGCCCTCGTATAGCTTTGCGCGAAATTCAAACCAAACCAAAGAACTAGTCAAGCTACTTCTGCTAAAACTAGTGAAAAGATCAAAGCCAGAACTTCGTGTTACATTGTTCCAGAAATTGAAGAACCCATAATTTCTCATAACAAAGATTATTCTAAAGAGAGAAGGTATAAATAAAGCAAAACATGTGTACGTGATTTGAATGATCCAGCTAAATGACTAAAATCGACTTAAGTGTATCAGCCGTACTCGACCTATTTCGACAAACAACTCTCGCATCTTTAACTTTCCCAAACACAACAAGAAAAGGAAATTAGTAACAAGCTATTTCATACTACGACTTGTCAATAGAGTAAAAATACCAAGACAATGGGTCCAATATTTAGTCACGCGATTCAGTGTGTTATTTTTGCTGTAAGTTTTTCGGCACAGCTAACTTTCATTGTTGTAAACGTAACAAAGAACTGGAAAATTTGGCAGCATTTTTAAGTCACAATGAAAATTCAGCAGATCATCTCGAGGCTTTTCAACAGAGGAAAGAATTAGAATCTCGACTGAGAATGAACCAAACAACCGGTACGGAAAATCTGCGCGTGATTAAACATGAGCGTAAGTAAGCTGTTCTTGAAAGATTTATTGCCTTGTTAAGAATTCAGGGAACTCCAAAATATTGCTTTTTGTGGAAATCATGAGAATCTCTTCACACATGGAAATGTAAATTTCCTGAATATTTGGCATGGTTGGATCCTGTCATAAACACCTTATAAGAATTGCTACTGTTAAATTTATTATCTCAAAGGACTTACTGAATCATTGCATGGACCTAAAAATCTTATCGGAAAGCAAGGTAGGCAATATGCTTGTAACAGAACGGTGTAACGAATTGCAGGTCTTCTCTCTAAGAGTGAATAAAATGACACCGAAAAGTGCATTGGAACACATGAACAAAAACAGATCAGCATTATCTTTTCCCAACACTTTTTTCACACTAATAATTCTGCTGAGTTGGCATATCACTGTTGCTATTGGAAAAAAAAGCTTTTCAAATCTCATTGACTAAAACCTACCTCAGACCAACCTTGACATAGAGAGTGAACATATTGGGCTGGCAACAATTGCGATCGATCCTGAAACTGTACAGATTGGACTTGAAGCAAGAGGTGTGAGATTTCGCCTTGGGTGAAACATAAGAAACAAGAGGGAATCCTCAATAGCCGCGGAGGTTGAAATTCTTTTAGACAGGATTAGAAGAAATTAATCTATGAGACCTTTGTTTCCCTTTTTATTAGCTATATTTTT